CTTTAGAATTCTCTTACCCTAAGACGCAGAACTCGATTACCGAAAAGGACGATGAACGAAGACGGTCGTCAGACACCACCAGCCGGAAGGAGGGATCCCGAACCCTCCGAACCCTCAGAATCCTCAAGCCGATCCGACGATCCTAGCGACTCTAGCCGAACTGAAAGACCTGATGGTTAAATTCCAGAAGAAAGCTGACGACCAAGAGAAAGCCAACAAAACCTTGGCGCAGCGAGTCGACGAAATCGCAACACGCGGGCAACAAAAAACCACACGTTTCCAGACTCGGCCGCCACGAGCTCGGAGGGACTTGCCTGGCATCAACCCAACAAGACTCACGTTCGCGACACCAACCGGCAACACAAGAGTCGCAACCCGAGCCGACCCTGCCAGATGCGAGAACCAAGATGATCCCACCGAGCCGGACGCAGTGGACTTGACGGACGAGCCAGATGATCTGCAAGATGAGCGTACCCGAGCCGGAGCTAACTCCGCCGAGCGAACAGATCTCACTGACGATGAAGAAACTGAGGAAAACATAAGGTGGGCCGAAGAATCCGAAAGAGAAGACGAGCTAAGCAAAATCCGAGCCTCCCTAGCCAAGGCGGAAGCTGATATGAAGCTCGTCAAAACCCAGATACATAGCGTTTCATCCTCCGGACCAAACATCGACCGAATTTTGGAAGAATCTCGGAACACGCCTTTCACCAAAAGAATTTCCGAAACGACGATGTCCAATCTGGGAAAGTTCAAAATCGACTCTTACAACGGATCAACCGATCCTAAGTGCCACATTAAATCGTTCGTGATATCTGTGGCCCGAGCCAGGTTCAAACCCGGGGAAAAGGATGCAGGTCTGTGCCTACTGTTCGTGGAACACCTCAAAGGACCCGCATTAGAATGGTTTTCGAGATTGGAACGAAATCGATTGATAGTTTCGACGAGCTGTCGACATTGTTCCTCAAACAATACTCCGTGCTCATCGACCCCGGAACTTCCGACGCGGATCTGTGGTCTCTGTCTCAACAGCCCACCGAGCCATTAAGGGATTTCCTTAAGACCTTCAAATCGACGCTAGCCAAGGTCGAAGGAATTACGGATGTAGCAGCTCTCTCGGCTTTGAAGAAAGCTCTCTGGTACAAGTCAGAATTCAGGAAAGAGTTAAACCTGTCTAAACCAACAACAATTCGCGACGCGCTGCATCGAGCCTCGGATTTCGTCGCCCACGAAGAAGAAATGGCGCTACTAGCAAAGAGGCACGAGCCAACAAAACAGGCATCCCGAACCGAGAAAAACGAGAAAGCCCAAGCGACACCTCTGGTCCAGAAGAAAACGCGTGAGAGCGGTACGTATACGCATCACGAAGGGCGCAATTTCTCAGGATACCATAGCTACCAGATTGACACGCCCCGAGGCCGTGGCCGCGGCAGAGGCCGAGGCCGTGGGCGTGGAAGAGAGTCCTTCACTTGGACGAGGGATCAGCCACCGAGCAATGATCAAGAATATTGCGAACACCACAAAATTTTCGGCCATCATACCTCGAGATGCCGAAGCCTCGGAGCCAATTTAGCAACCAAATTCCTAGCTGGAGAGCTCGGGACAAACGTAACTCTTAAGAACCTCGAGCCAGAACCAGAGCCCGAGCAGACCAACCCAGGAAGAGACCCCGAACCAAGGAACCAGGAGTCTCAGAAAAGAACCCGGGGGTCGGAAGACGAAGACCGAGATGGTACGCGGCAGAAGGTTCTTACCATAATGGGTGGATCACCTTACTGTCCTGACACCGTAGCGGCAATTAAAGCTTATCAACGCCGAGCCGAGACGCCTAGCAACTGGACAAGACGCTCCGATCGACCTAACGACGTGATCACATTCGAAGAAAGCGAGACAAACGGGCTCGACATGCCTCATAACGATCCAATCGTCGTCACATTAGCAATAGGAGACCACGATATTTACCGAGTATTAATTGACACCGGCAGCACCATTGACGTGATCTTTCGCGAAACGCTCCAACGAATGAACATCGACATGTCACAGGTGATTCCGACCCCGAGGCCTGTCCTCGGATTTTCAGGGGAAACTTTGATGACGCTTGGAACCATCCAACTACCAGTCCGAGCCGGCGGGGTAACAAAGATAGTCAACTTCTCAGTCACCGATCGACCTACCATCTACAACGTCATAATGGGAACCCCGTGGTTAAATCTAATGCGAGCTGTCGCATCAACATATCATCTGTGTGTCAAATTCCCGACCCCTAATGGCGTGAAAACGATATGGGGCAGTCAGAAAAATTCTCGGATGTGTTTCATGGCAGCACACAAACTCCGAAACCCTGTCACCGAAGCGAAGGCTGAAACCAATCACAAGAAATCAAAACTTGGCCGGAGTGA